TATATATATATATATATATATATATATATATATATATATAAATTTGAACGAAAGAGCAGAATGTAGATTGGCATGTTTAAAGCAAATTCAAGCGGAAGATGGAGAATTCATGTAGAGTGGTGTTAGGAGAATAATGAGTGGGTGCACGAGCGACACCGTTTGCGACACCCAGCCATATCACTGTGTTTGTAACCATCTGTGACCATCATCTCAGGGTCCCCAGCCAGCGAGCCTAACAGGACGTATGTGACCTAGTCTCCTGGTTGGGGTTTTTATGCCCTAATGCCAGGTCTTCACTTGACCACCCTTGACCTTTTTCCAACCGCTACCTGCTTCGGCAAACATTGCTCGCCGTGGCAACCTATGTGGTGACATGCGTAACACATGCCCAAACCAACGTAATCTATGGGGGTCGATCACTTGCTCCAGTGGACGACCGCGACTGCCTAAAACTCTACGCCTAACCTTAGCATTGCTCGCCCGGCTACCCCACCAGACTCGTGCAATGTGACGTAGACAGCGGCATTCGAACACACAATCCATTTTTATCCTGTTTCCGTAGTAACCCATTCTCTGCACCGTAGAGGAGCACTGATCGATCGGCTGCAGTATATACTCCACCCTTCACAAGTAGCCGGATGTCGCGACGGCGCCAGAAATGTCTCAAGTTGGCAAATGCCAACCAAGCCTTTTGTATTTGCGCCAACAGTTCATCTGTGATACGTCCACAAGGTTAGATATAGCTGTCCAGATAGCAAAACTTGTCTATTTCCTTTCCTACTTCCCCAATCGGGGTTAGGTTGGCGGCTGGACCAACCTAATCTTGTAACAACATTTTACACTTTGAAGGTGCAAAGCGCATACCAAACATGGCTATACTACTACTCGAACTATGGAGAAAAGCTTGCAACTTACCTGGATCTTCCTCTAGTAGAACCAGGTCGTCTTTAGATCACCACCCGAGAGTGAATCGATACCGCTATCCTCACACGAGAATAGGGCTGCTTGAAGAATTAAATCTATAACAAAGTTAAACAGGAACGCAGATAGACGGCAACTCTGATAAACACCACCTTTCGCGGTGAGATCGGGTCAAAACGTGCCGTAAGCTGGGACTCGACTTCGGCTATTAGTATAAAGGGATTGTAAGATTGAAATGAACTTCTCGGGCACACCCTTCAGGGATAGGCAGCGCCAGATTTTAGAGCAGTCGACTGAGTCGAAAGCCGCTTTCAGATCGAGGAAGATAGAAATGATGGATCCACAAAAAGAGTGCCTGTGCTCTAGAATTTGACGAAGAGTGCAGATGTGGTCGATACAACCTCGAGCGGGTCTAAAGCCAGCCTGGTTCTCACGCGTGCACCGTTCACGCGCGGCATACAATCGACGGCGAGAAGTTTAGAGACGATGTTGATTAAACTAACTCCAAAAGAGAATCTGTCATCGTTCATGTAAATCGGTATGATGACTGATTTGCACCATTCCGTTGGAACCTTTTCCGTCTCTCACACTGAGCCCAGGAGTTTCGTTAATTCCAAAACCAGGGCTAAACCTCTATCTTTTATAACCAATGGGGACAGCCCGTCGGGGACGGAAGCCTTATACCTTTTAACAAAATTTATTTCTCGGGTAACCTCCATTTCCGATAGAGGACTGATGTCAACTGGGAGTATTTGCATAATTGAGGCGGGTATAGGGGGGTCTTCTGCAGGAGGAGGGCCAGCTGAACTGAGCCTTAAAATGTTCTGCCCATCGATCGAGACGAGGTTGCTCAATATGAATCACTGCGCCGTCACACTCCTTAATAACCTCACTTTCGCCTACTTTCCTTGGACCTGTACTCCTAATTAAACAAACAAGATTGCGACTATTATCGACAGCCACAGCTTTCTCCATCTCTTTCCTATCCACCACTTCTCGCGGTCAGACTTTTGATGAGCTGGCGTTTAAGGGATTTGCGCGCTTTGTCGTATTTTGAATCCAGAGGAATAGCTTTGCGAGCGTCCAACAAGGCAACCAAGGTCGGTGAGATTCATCGTTTTTATTTGATTATTTGCCAGAATCCGCCGTTTTCTTGATCGACGTTTGGATCGCTTCCTTAATTGTCGTCCAGTGTTCAGTGAAGCCTTGGACTGATGGTTGAGCTGTGAGGCGATCTGATAGTTCCCCTTCGAAGGCAATTCGCAACCGTCGCTGACCCTGTATTGTAGGCATCCGTTCTCGGTGGCTTTTCTGTGGTTGTTTATCAGGCGTACGGAGAATCTTGCTCGTAGGAGAGCATGCTCCGTGTCCACGGGTGTTGGCCAGTAGGAGCGGCAGTCCTCGATGGATCCACGCCAGCGGTGGCTAGTGGCGATGCGGTCGATTTGAGTCCAGCACTGTGAAGAAGTTGGCGGTTTCCATGTAAGATGGTGTCGTTTCTTGTGCGAGAAGTTGGTGCTTGACAGAAACAATCCATAGTCAGCGCAAAGTTGGAGTAGGCGTTATCGTTGTCAGTCCGGTTAACTGGGATTTCATGTGAACCACCAAGTAGCCTTTCTGATTCGTCCAGGCATCCCACTTGAGCATTGAAGTCTCCAGCGATTACCACGATGTCCGTTGACCGAGCGCTTTGGGGCAGTTAAGATAGATCCTTGTAGAGGTCATCCTTCACTTCTGGCGTACTGCAATCAATTGGTGCATAGGCGGATACGACGAACAACGACGCTTTGTTCTGTAGCTGTTGATTCGTATCAAACCATCCAGACGTACAGCGCTGCTAACCAGGATCCAGTCGAGAAGTGCACGTTCGTCCTTGACACTTAGCGCAATCCCGACGCCAGCAACATCGCGAGCTTCGGACGCCGGATCGCCTGACACACGCATAGTGAAGCGGGAGGATGAGGTTGGATCTGGAGAACTGAGTTAGATGATTGGAGTAGGGTCTTTTATGCGTGTTTCGGAGACACAGCATATATCTAGATTGAAAGTTTCAAGGGTTCTGGCCAAGACAGCTTGTTGACCGATCGGGTAGAATGTGCGGAAATCAAGTGCGGCTAAGTGAAAAGGGGAATTTGGTTTCAAAGTTATCATAGACTCTGAGTGGTTGACCTTATTAGTTGAACGCGGAGGGTTATCCGGTGGTTCTTGTAAACAGGAGACGTTTGGGATTATTCGGGATTGAGAAGAAGAACTAGACAGATCTGAAAGAGGTTTTTCCAAATGGATGCCTAAGATTTTAGGGCATGACATACTTCATGACAGCCCACACCGACGAAGAAGGTTTTCTTTGGGAGCCGGAGCCTTCGACTCAAAAGCCTGACCCGCAGGGCAGCGGCAATTCGTGGGTTCTTCGTTGGGAACCATAACCGGAGCCTTTGACTCAAAAGTCTGGCCCACAAGGGAGTGGGGCGTAAATCCAACGCCTGAGTGTAAACGGAGCACCCCTGTGGGAGCTTCGAGAGATCTAACACGCAAGGCTTTCGGGTTTCGGTTAAGTGTGTCGTTCGCTGGTTGACGTTCCGTGCTTTGGGATCAACCCTTAACCTTATGCACCCAAGGAGACTAGCGGAACGTGGACGGGACATCACCTTATTGGTTGGGGGCTGCCCAGCTTGGGCGGGGGGTAGCTGTCCAATAAAGTGCGAAGACTTCTCCCACCGTCGAGAGGAAGCCATAGGTATCCCGCTCCTACGTTCATCTAGCGGGGTGTTTTGAACGGTGAACTGCTCTCACCGTGTTTATTGGCTGGAGTGACCTCTCCAGGGGCGGAAGTGGATAGACGAAGGAAGCCAGGAGATTCCAACCAGCTGGCTTTGTGAGACTGACCTTTATCTGGCCCCTATCCGTTGACCTCTCAGGCATGATTGGATCTGCGGCTGTGAAAAGCCATCCTGTGTAGTTCACAGAGTTATGGAGGCACGCAAATCAGTACACCACTTCAAGGTGCAGTCTCGTCGTGATGGTGAGTTTTACGGTGACAGAATGGTTGTTTTCTACTACGGGTTCCAAGAGGATCTTATGATCCTAGACAGTTTTGAGGGGAGAATGTAACAATACTCGTAGACTTACACCGTTTAACTTAACTAATGAGTACGTTTAGACTGCAACTGAGCTGAAAAGGAGTGCCATTTTCAGGACCCCGGGTTGGCGATCTTATTTTTATATCTTGAGTGGATATACAAAAAAACGGCAGTCGAACAAAACGCGAAAGTCAACTTCGTTTATCCCAGTGAAGCTCACTGTAAAACGATAATAGAACGGGACTCTGAACTAATCAGATGATAAAGTGCACATACTAGCACAACTATACATCATGAGAGAACAGAATGCAGTCAGCTCACCTGGAATCCACAGTCAGTACATTTGTAGCCCTGAGCCACCAAACCCCAGATGAAGTGAGTACAATAGTCGCACCAGTGTGGGCCCCGGAAAGTATGCACCTTGAAGTTGTGTGGTTTGCCATCTTCAATCGACTGCGTCTGGTCGGCAAAACAGGCCGCAGGTAGATTATACCGTTCCTGAAGATTGAGCATTGCGTTTTTTCCAGCCACCGCATCAGCTAAATTGGTTCCGTTACGCCAGGGAACCGAATCGGTTTCTGAGGTTGCTGTGGCTGACGAGGTGCGGTTTGTGTCGGTGGTAACAACATCTATCGCGTAACTGGAATTAGATGTGTCTGTTGGACTGGGATGGCTGCCATAGCTGCTGCTTGTCGCGGTTGTGTTCGAAGTGAATGAGCCTGAACTGTCTAAATCACGAGAACCGGTTGATGTGAGCGAGGAGAATTTTGTAACGGTTTTGTGGACGGGGACATTCAGGATAGTGGTTGAGGGATCGGTATCCTCGGGAATATGAGATAGCTTCCCTGGAAAAGAAGACTGGATGGAGCTGACACCTCCCTGGGTGGTTGACTTATCGGCCTGTGTATTCGGGAGGAAAAATACTGATGAAGATGAGTGCAGTAAACAAACAAATGTACTGTCACAACCATCTTCCGAAACCTGAATATTTGTTTTCGACGCACTTTTCACCCCATTTTTACGCAATATCTGTGAGAGCTACTTTGTATATAGATGCATATAACTCAAACAAAAGAAATCGTGGCTGTAATGACATTCAGCTCATAAGAGTGTGGTGAATTCGTTTAGGGGATTAAACAATACAAAAAAGTAAAGGATGGTAGTGAATAGGCCAACTTCCGGGGTAATGACCGGGTTGGTGAACCTCCTATAGGAGTTGGTTAAATTCCTGATTCCAAACCAACCAATAGGTGTACGAACCGACACTTCTTTGCGGCAGTGATAACTGACTTATTTGGCATCAAGCTGTATTGGACGCTTCGGACTTTTGATCCCGTTCAACAGGCGAATGATCCGAAGGGCTAGACACCGGCCCCTAATGGGCTACCGACTTTGAGCTAAGTCCTGAATGTCTGGCTTTCTAGCCGAATGCTTCGATTGGGGCCTTCGAGTCTATCCCGCTTCTTCGGTCAGGGCGATCGGGAAGTGACATGCTCACACCACCTATGAACACATTCTACATATTTTCAACCGTTGTGGCACATTTGCCAGTTCTATGTTGTTGATTACGTGTGCGAATGGGGATCAATCCAATGGCTGATTTTCATGCTTTCAACTCTGTTCACAAAATTTTATAGCTTTGAGGTACTCTCGCCGTCTTATTAGTTCCTCAAAATAGAGGTCAAAAGTTAATTTTCGATTCATATGGAAGTCTGTACCAATCACACCAGAAAAAATTGTTTGAGCTTAATCTCATTTGATGAATGTAGAATTTGAGGATCCCGAAATGTATAAAAATGATGCATCATATGAAGTTTTATACGTATAAATGTTTGGTGTTTAATATCAGCGGGAAAGTGAGTATTCAACTTCCGTTATCGTTATTAACCTCAAATCGGGGGTTGTAAGCTCTTTCTGAAGAATATTTGTCCTCGGTAATCGGTACGTAAACTAATTTCTGAATTTTTCTATATTGAATCTTTTTTATCTCATCCAGAACTGAATCTTCTTTAGCCGCTTGCACCAGTGAACATTTATGGGTATAATTTTCACAGAATTCCAGCGTTTATTTTTAACTTGCAGGGTTGTGAAGCACTCAGTATTAGAAAATCCTCATAAACACATTAGGCAGAAAGGGTGTGCTAACTTGACTGCATTATTTCGGTGCATCGGAGTGTCTCTGCTAAGGCAAGCGCCGTTCGCCCAACCTGACTCATAGGTGTCGCATATTTTGGCACAAATTGTACAAACTGTCTGTCTGCGCCAATTGTATTTCCTTTCACCCCTTCATCCGAATACCATAAGCTTCAGCGATTGCAATTCACTACCCACCGAATTGCGTTTGAATCGCGCGACGGATTTCATACTTTGGTTCATGATGGAGTCACTTTGTGTATCATTTGTTTGTTTTTGTACTTCTTTTTATATAGAGAGGGGGGGGAGAAGTGGTTTAATTGTCTTTTCCCCTGCCAACTGTGTGCTTAAAGCGTGCCCATGGGCTATGACAATACTACAAATGTGCATGCGCGGTTCCCAATAGTTTCATGCTCTATTCCCCCCTCACATTTTGATTTGAAATTAAAATGAGAATCTCTTATGAACAGTCGAACTGGCCACATTCACGTTGCCATTGATCGATTTCTTTTCTAGATGCGCTACCATACTTTCAATGCTAGCGCGTTAAATAATGCTTTGGATCAAATGTTCATAAAGGCCAACACCACCACACCGGAGTCAGGAACAGCAAAGGCTCGAGTTGCGTCGACAGAGGATGTTCCTATCAGACTAGAACGTCGAGTCTCCCCTCCAGTTACAAAACCAGTGGACCTTTCCAAATCGGCACGTTGCACGTCAAAGGCAGCACTTTTCCACCGTCAGTCCATCGATGCGACCCAGCTGGTTCGTCAGAGCCTGAGACCTGATGCTCTCGGGGATACTTGTGTACACACAGATCAAACCACAATGAACAGCAAGCCGTCCGATCCAAACTCGGAAGCTTGGCGATATAAAGAGTGGCCACCTACTTCAACTCAGACGGACACGCGAAAGTTCCTTTCAACTGCTGAGATCGATATGGCTCCAGTTCCACCTCCTCGTCGGATGTCTGCATGCGCAGTTGTGTCCAGACAACCCCCACCCTATCCATTTACCGCTTTCCAGTCAGGTCCCGTAATCTCCACGGGAGCAACAGGATCAAGTGACTCGCGATTATCATCCGGTCGTGATAACCCAGTACCTAAGTCGGTAGGTAATTGATATCGTTGCTACAGTTTTTCATTTCATGAGAGTATTCTAAGAAAGCAGCCTAAAAATCGCTACCCTTGTTTGTTTTGTTGAAGCGTACTCTTGTGAGAGCTGAGACATAAGCGTTTGCGCATGTATGGTCACTCCTCATAAACTAACGAACTGGTAGCAGAGTACTCTTTAATGTGCTGGTTTTATATATTCAGCATGTTCCCTAGTCAGCTTCATCATACAAATCATTGGTGTCACGATTGCGTATTTTTTGTCCTCTATTTATCTTGTTTTCCGGGCACATTAACTCCATGTAGTCTATCTATGGGACCTCTTGTTTCGTTTTTCCCACCTGTGAACCTCGTCATTATTGTATTGTGTTGAAGCTTTAGCGAATTATGTACAAGCTTTCGGCAAAAATAGACTACAGTCAAAATACTGGCAAAAGGGAAAGAACTGAGTCGTCAAACTTGTAAAGGTGTGCATTAGAAAGCTGAGAATAAACACTTTCCTTGTCGGTCAGTATCCGGGCGAGGTAGGGTACCAAAGAGTTTGTGTGCAGATATCTGAGATGAGATGAGTTTGTGTTTGGAAGGGTCGAGGTAATGGGACTTGCATGCACACAGGTCAATTTTTAAAGAATATTGTCAGCAAACTTCAGGCACCCATCGATATGAGCATTACACACGTTGCTCATCAGAACAGATAACCGAACTTGGGAAACACGGCTGATCATTGAAATCCCACGCCTTAGCAACTTAAAATTGGCCTTCGGCAAAGCAGGGAAAATCACCGGGGAGCAGTAACCGGGTTTAGGGAGAACACATTGTTGGACAAAAGCTTCCGTCACCGATAAATCGGAACAAAAGTGTTATAGTCTTCTTATCTAAAAGAAGAGAACTTTCAGTTTGCGAGCAACAGTTTGGATATGTGAAGACCAGCGAAGGTTACTTTCAAGTGTGACGCCTAAGTACTTGATATGGCCGACCATGCTCGTTGACTTTCCCCAAATCTGTACATTGTCGGAGGGAGATGGGAAACGTTCAAGATAAAAATACATTCAAGATATTTTTCGGGATTATGATTAAGACCGGATAAAGTGGACTACGGATGGATGTTGCTTAAGTTCGTGTTGTTTTACCAGTTCTGATTGGTTAGATACGGAAACAGAAATGGTGATGTCATCAGCATACTTGAAATGTCGTACAGGGTGAGTAATAGGTGAGTCACTGATATAAGTCGCAAAAGGATAGGGTGATAAGACAGCACTCAGAAGTACACCCGAACTATTGAGTGATGGCGTTGACTGTCTTCCTCCGGATTTAACATATTGTTATCTTTTCGAAAAGTAATTGCCAAGCCATTCAAGAAGAGAAATGGGACAACCAAACGATTGGAGCTTATTAAGAATAAGAGAAAGAGGCACCGAGTCAAAAGCGAAAGAATAATCAAGAATGCACAGTGCACATATTTGGCTTTATCGTTTGGGGACTTGCAGATGAAGTGAACCAGAGAAGAAACGGTATCCAATATAGAGCGGTTGTGTTTATATGCGAAATGTGATAAACCCCTGAATGAGAAAGATTTTATTTATTATTATCTATTTATCTGGTAACCTAACTTCTGTTTATTTATCGGTCTTGTTGGTTCAACAGGCCTATATCAAAATGCGTTGAGTTCATTGTGATTGTTAATTGTTCATGATGCTTTCTCTCTTACTTACACGACACAGAATCCGAAGGAGCGGTTGATTATCTATTCTCTATTCCCGATAGATCATCACCCACACTCGTGGTTTTCCAGGCCCAGCTGGCGAGATTTCACTAAACCACAGACGCACATCTCATCATGTTTGCTTTGTATTTTTATGCGCACATACGCACGTTTGTGTACTTGAATGCGTGTCTATTTGTTTGCCAGTTTGAGCCCGCTCGCGGGACTGTGCGTCATCGCGCAACTGGGGCTGGCCGCAGTCAAGCGCATGAGTCAGCTTCCATTTTTACCAATAACCCTCGTTCTATGTATGTGTGTATGTTCGTGTTGATCATCGCCACCAACACATTGGAATACTCCGACCCTTTTGCATTTTCACGTGTTTCACACTAAACGATTGTTTTTCACTATTATGAGCCCCAATGTCATGTCATGCTACTGGGACATGTATTTGTGTTTGCAGTGTAATACTCTTACAATTGATTTTTAAGGGTATTTGTGTATGGAGAACCTGACACGTGATAAGCACGTACTATATTCATTATACTGGGGAATGACAGTTCCTTTCACATACGCCATTAAGCAGTCATCAAGATGAACTTGTTTGACAGTGCCACGGGTTAAACTCAATCATTTTGATAGTCCCAAATTCGAGCCACAATGGGTCTTCAGTTTGTAAGCCAATCACCAGAACCCAAATGTACTAAACAGTAAAAGAGGTAGTTAATATGCTGATTATGAGGAGAATACTGATGATTGAAGAATGATCACCGTACACGACAAGAGCCCAGTCTAGTAGCATCACTTTGCACTTTGTAGGTGCAAAGCGCATGCCGAAAGGAGATACAAAACATGTTAGTCTGTCAAGAGCGCATTGCGCATCCTCCATAGATACGACGGCGTACTCTAAATCGCACGGCTTTTCTCCAGCTGCCCATTCAATACCTACGTTTTGGAGATCAGTAAGTGCGTTCTCCAGTACTTCGTCTACGACGAAATTGAACAGGAATGGCGAAACAGGACACCGCTCTTGGTTTCGAACGATTTACTTAGCCCACCGTAGACCCTTACGCTGCCAGAAGTGTGCAGGTACAACGACCGCAATAGGCTTACATACTTCCGCGGCATTCCTTTGCGGAGCAGCGACCCCAGAAGAGCTTCACGGTCAACTGAACTGAAGGCTCAGTTTAGGTCAAGGAACACTGTGATTGGTGGCCAACGATGTATATGACGCAGATCGAAAACTTGACGCGGAATGAAGATTTGGTCGATGCACCCGCGACCGGGTCGGAATCCGGCTTCTTGTTCGCCGATATTCCTCTCCCTTAAAGGCGTCAGGCGGCGAAGTACCACAGAAGTCAACACTTTTGTGATTATCGGAACTAAACTACTCCCACGGTGGTTGGCGCACTCGTTGCGTGATCCCTTCTTGAAGATCGGGGCGATCAACGATTCACGCCAGGAAAACGGTATACGCTCCTCCGTCCAAATGCTGCGAAGTAAGCTAGTAATTAAGTCGACAAGAGAATCGCCGCCCTCCGTGAAAAGAATAGGGAGAAGCCCATCAGGTCCCGTAGTCTGTCCGTTCTTTAATGATTGAATGCAGCTCAGTACTCGGATTCTGATGGGGGCTCGCATGTTACCACTCATGGAGTTCCCACCGCGATTGCTGGAATGACCACGCTAGCACTAGGCCAATTGAACTGTTCATTAAAATACTCTGCCCAGCGATCAAGTCATTGTTCTTTATTCTGGATACTTTATCCACTTTTATCGCAAATGGTCTCACTGGCCGGTATACGACGACCTCCGGTGCTGCGTATCAGGTGAACTAGTTTTTGATTATTCCCTGATGCGGATGCTACCTCCATTTCACTAGCTATTTCGACCCACCAATTTTCACGACCTTCCTAAGAATATTTCTGAGTTGATGTTGCGGGCGACACCGATCCTTATGCTGATCCTGGCAGATTGGGATCTTTCGCTCTTGATCCATTAGGATTTGTGACTTCTGAGAGATCCAATGCCTTCGGCGAACCTCGGGATCAGTCCCACAAGCAAAGTTTGCTGCTGAGTGCATCGCAAATCTAATTTGACTCCACTGTTGGTCTATTCCACTATATCGCGGTTCTCCTAGCTCCTGTCCTAGTTTCTCCTCAGACAGACAGCTAGATGGTGAGCGACGGAGGTGATTTCTGCCGATGACCAATGAGTCGAAGAGCGAAGCGTAACAGAACTGGTGTATGATCCGACTCAACGCAGGTTGAGCAATAGGATCTTCAATTTTGTACTGAACCACGCCAACGGTAGGTTACAGCTATGTGGTTAATTTGGGTCAATATACTTGCTGAACTAGAACACCATGTAGCCGTTCGACGGAAGCTGTGTCGAAGGTTGGTGCTAGATAGGAACAGCCGGTGTTCCGCTCAGAACTGAAGTAGTCGATCACCGTTGTCTGTTCGCTGGGCGGGGAGTGCGAAGTGCCCTCCTGGACAGGCTTCGGCTGCACTCAGTTTTCCAACCTGCACGTTAGAATCACCTGCCAGTACTATAATATCAGAGTTGCGGCTCAACCGGATCAGTTCGGCGAGTTAGTCGTAAAATTCGTCGTTTTGTGAAGCGGGACTGCAGTTTGTTGGTGCATACGCGGAAATTATGAACAAACACCTTTTGGTGTTGCTCCCCTCCGAACACTAACTGAACCCTGTTGCCTCATTGCGCACAGACGACTATTGACGGGTATCCAACCTATCATAGAGGCTTCTGCATTATCGTTTAGTACGATACCTACGCCACGCTGACCCAGTGAGCGGGCTTCGTCGTCTCCTGATGTGTGAAGGAAATACCTCGACGGCAGACCTGGCGCACTCAGGTGGCTTATAATACTAGAATCCTGAATTCGTGTCTCCGATACGCAACATACATCGATTTCTAGAGACTGCATTGTACGCGCAAGACACCTGTTGACCCACCTGCATAAGAGTCCACATTGAAAGCCCCCAGATTGAGAGGTCGACGAGGCTTCAGAACCTGCATTTTATTTACAGGAAAAATAGTTACAGTGCTATTTGGCAAAGACCTTTGGTTAGTGACGACCAAGTTGTCGGAGGGAATATTACGGTTCAGAAGAACGGGTAAAGGTATGGGGTTGGGTACGGAAGATAAAGAGTTAAACAAAGGTTGGGATGTCTGAGCAGTAGCCCACTTATTCACCCACCCCGCTCGGTGCAATGGGCAGCGACGATCGATGCAGTATGGAATTATTTTTAGTTTGTGTATGCATTGAAGTTTGATGGACGGGTACTACT